CTTTGCTCCCGCGGGCTCTCTGTCCCCATCCGTTTATGCCTCTCTGATGCCTCTTGGGGAAGTGGAGATAGGGACCCACCCACCCCGTGCCCACAGGCTCCAGACTCTCAGGGGCAGAAGGGCTCAGGAGATGGTAGTTGGGCCCCAGGGGTAATACTCCCCGCTTACCTGTGTCTAGCCCCTGCACCCCTCTTCCTGCTAAAACCCTGCCCACTCCCGCCCCCGCCCTTTCTCTCTCTCTCTGTGTGTCCCTGGCTCTCTATTTCAGTCATTGCTTGCCAGTGGTGCCAGATGGGCGCTACGCAGATGCTGGGGGTGGAACCCTATCCCTCTTGCTGCCCAATAGGGACATGGGGTGTCCAGTGGGAGGACATTGAGCCCAGGACCGAAGGTCCCTGTTGCATACGCCGAGGTACACACAGTGTGTGCTGGGGATCCCTGAGTTCCCCAAGGAACTCGGAGCGTGAGCAGCATGCAATATTGATACTGTAAATCCTAAAATAACTGAACCGCCCCGTGCTGCTCGGCCCTAGACGAGGCACTGGTTGAGCATCAACAGCAGTGGCAGGCGCAGGAAGCAGGCAGGCTGGGGCAAGACAGTCCTGGAAAAACACAAGTGTGCATGGCTCACCACTTGTGACCATTGGGGGAAGGCTTTTGCTGGTTTGGGCAGGAACAGAACACCTGGATGCAGCCATCTGATGGCTTATATCTAACCCGCCCCCCAACCCTGAGGTCTTGCTCTAGCACAGCCCTGGGGTGCCAATTCCCACCCCACCCCCTGTTGGCCTACAGGGCTTTAAGAGAAGACCTCTCACAATGCCAGGCAGGCTGCCCAGCCAGGAGGCACAGGGCTCCTATTGCCTCCTGGCTGTGTGACTAGGGCCAGTGGATGTCCCTTTGGGAACCTGTTTTTCCTCATCTGTAAAATGGGGAGGAGATGCCTCTTTTGAGTGTCAGCGAGTGACCCTAAGCCTGGCTGCAGGTGCCCTCACTGCCACCAAGTCCATGCCCACTCAGTGGCTCTGTGGGATTCTGAGACTAACTCTTTATGAGAGTAGAAAGCCTAGTTTTTCTCCAGAGGAGTACCTAGTAGTTTCAGCTGATGACCTTGAGGGTGAGCCAGATCCATCCTTCCAGCCCCAGTCCATGGCAGCTCTGGGCCTGGGTCCCTTACTCCTCCCACCCCCTTACTAGGTGTGAAGATGTTGACTGCCTAGCTAGACAAGTATTCCTGCCGCTGGCTCCCCAGGGGATCCTAGAGTCCAGCCCCATTCCGCACAGCGGGGGGAGGGGGGGGAGGCCTGAGAGGGCAACCAGCTTTCCCTGCCACTCTGGGCACAGGGAGGGCCTGGGGCTGCTCTGGGGTCTGGGTGCCATCCATGCTCCAGGCCTGGCCCTCCACTGCCAGCCCACCTGCCTGGCTTTGCTGTTTAGTTCTTGGGCTAATTATTTATTGGTTCAATTTTTAAAGTCTCGCCTTTGTGGGAAACCGTGGAGGGGGGCAAGGATCTGATATAAAACACTGATTAAAATGCATAAAACAAACAAAACAAATGCATAAGACACCTGTCCTTGGCAGTTGCAAGAGTAACTAGCAGGGTGAATGCTGCCCATTCAGAAACACCCCCGCCGGCCTTCCTAGACAATAGAGTCCTGGGGCGGAGTGGGGGGGGTGTTAGACCAGGACAACACCCATGCTGTTCCTCTTTACCTTTGAAGTCTTTCATTGTGACTTGGATGAAGGTGTACAGAGCAAATCATGTTTCCCATTCAACGGTTTGTACACCTTTCGCTCATCTTCATTCATTACCACCCCCTCCGTGAAAACACTACTCACCCCACACCTCCACGCCAGTTGTCTACGGATGGGCTTTGGGTCTCCACTCTGCATTCCCCGTCGTTCACGAGGTTAGGGTTTTTTGCTCTGGGGCTCTGATAGCTGGTCCTGTTGACACCTCTTGATCACACAGGCTGGTGTGCTTCTTCCACGTGGGCTTTGCTGCTTCTCGGCTCGATGGCCGCTTGTTTAGCTTCAAGCCTTCAGCTCGACTCTGCTGTCAGCTGGGCAGTTAGTTTTACCTGTGGGGAATGAGGGGTCCTACACAGCAGTCCCAGCCATAAGAATGAGGTGCCCTCCGTGCTGTCGGCCAGAGATGCTTTCTGATTCTGGAGGCCAGGGGTGGCTTCATGGAGGAAGCAGCTTTTGGGATAGAAGCCAGAGACTGTTGGGGCAGGAGGCTGGGACCGCTCTGCAGACAGACAGAGGCTGAGATGAGCAGGGGGGGTAGGGGGGGTGATGACTTCAAATGCCAGCTCAGTGTCTGTTGGAGGGGCTTTCCAACAACTCAAGGTTCCCTATCCCGACTGCCCCCAGCTCTGGGCTGGCTTCCTCACGAGCAGCCCTGACACCAGCCTTGAGCCTGCCCTGAGCTGGGTGCTGAAAGTCCTATTTACCTCTGTGGTCCCCAGCTTCACACTGGAGCCAGCCCAATTACTTATTGATCGCCTGTCAGGATGTTTGCTTTTCTGGTGGGTCACTGGAACATGTGTGACTGTGGAAAATGGCCTGGGAGTCGGGGAGGCAAATCCACAGTGGAGACTGAAGGAAGGCTGAGAGGGACTTGGCAGGGGACACAAGACAGCCCTGGGGGATGGGAAACCCTTGCAGATTCCATAACATGTCGGTAACACCCCAAGCCCTCTCTGGTTAATCAGTCACAACCAGAGAGCGCCTGTCAGTCCTGGGAGGCAGACCCGGGTCAAGACGGCCTTGGAGTCTTGACTGGGCTCTGGTCCCAGGAGGCCCCCTCTATGGCCTGCATGACCTTGGGTGGCCACGCCCATTCAACAATCTTAAGGGTCCCAAGTGTGGATTCAACTCATGATGGTGTGGGGTGGGGGTGGCAGGGATTAGGGGTGTGGGGCAAAGTGGGACCCTCCCTGCTGAACCCCTTCCTGCAGGGAAGGAATCCCCATAGGATCCTGGGTGCCGGAACTGAGTATAGAGCAGCACGGCTGCAGGGTGGCCCCAGAGGCCATCTGGTCCACCGCCCAGCACCTTCCCTGCTTGTTGGGAGCCGGTTTATCTGCACAGACCCTGGGGGCCAGAGGAGGGATGGGGGGCTTTGGGGCACAAGGGAGAGCTAGTGGGCTCTGAATAAGAGATGGAAGAGCCTAGTAGGGAGTCAGCTGAACTAGGCTCCTGTATCACCACCATCCAAGTGCCACATGTTCAGCCCAGGGTTCGCCAGTGCTGTGGTGTGGACCAGCACCCCTGGCAGCACCATTCCCCTTGGTCTCCCAGGGCCCAGGCCGTGGGAGGAAAGTGATTGGAACCCTGAGCGACAGAGGGATATGAGGTAGGCACCAAGGGGGCCCACTTCCCATCAGTGTGCAATGTAGCAACGATGAAAAATACAACTTTCCTCTAGTTCCTAAATGCTTCCTCTGCCCCCCACTATCATGATC